TGGTAGCGCTACCTCTGTCTTCAGATCTTGGTCAGGACTCACGACTACCTTATGTATGTTTTGGGCTGTAGAAACCAGAGTGCTCTCAGAAAACCCTTGTAGACATGAGGGGAAACATGTAAATGAAGTGAAAGGGCTGGCCGATCTGGGAACCTTCTTGCTGTGAGGCATGAAGACACAGACACCCTTTTTTCTAGTGTCATGGTATTCATCGATTTGGGCTTTTACGTGGTATTTTGAGGACTTTTGCTCAATCAAAAAATACAATATTTTGTCTGGAAATGTCAATTATTACGACGGTGCTGGATTTCCATCACCATAAGAAATGACACATGTACAACTACATTATTGTGGTCCTCAAGCACAAAACGGAAACAATAACTTGAAGTAATGCTACACTAACTTTCACTTACAAGCTTGTTCTATAGTGACTACCCAAGCCAGGAGTAGTCAGGCATCCCACTGCGAGACAGAACGCCCATGACAAAAGACAGGCATAGAGCAGAGGCTAGCGGAAAGACAGGGTGTTTTGAAGTGCAGCGTAGGCGTATATGTAGCATGTACCTCGGGGGGGGGAAAGTGGGATGGCGGGGGTATAGCTGGAAGCCCCCCTGCTGACAAAGCCCACTACTGGACAATCCATCAGCCGGCTAATCAGAGCGATCGGGAGCACAGGGGACGAGAGAAGAGGAAGGAGAGGGAGGAGAGGGAAGGACCCGAGCTACAGCTACAGTACTGAGGCAGATTGGCCTGATTTAAGCTACTCTCACAGCGCTCTTATCACAAACCCGCAGTATTAGAGATTCTTACTGGGATGAGCAGCCTGCCCCCTCTCTGCCGGCAGTCGGAGCACCGCGAGAATCCAGCAAAGATGCGAGTGCTTGTTGTACACTGATATCTGACCTTCAAATGTGTCCTTCACTGAGCTGCTCTAGATCAAATGTAACACTCACATAATGATTTGATTTGAAGCGCTAAACTGTAAGGCGCCACCAGGCTAACTTACATCTATGTAATCTGTGGACAGATGTCATTCTGGGTTTCATATCAATAGACTCTGTGCACAAAAGCACCCAGCAACCTCAGCGTCACCACTTCCTGTCTGATTTTGTTTTTTTTTTGTCAAGTTGTGCTAAAATGAATAAATATACAAAGATAAGGCAGTGAACAGGAAGCTGCTGATGGATGTGACTGACAATATGTTAAAAAGTACACAAATAAAAAGAACACTTGAGCGGAGGACACTTCTGTGTTGAGAAAGAGAGATGTTTGTGTCTCAGTGCTAATAATAAATATTGGAGAACCACCACAAATTGAAGTATTCTACATATAAAAATAATTGGGTACCGTATTTTTCGGACTATAAGACGAAAATCGACAGTGCGCCTTATGATTAGAATGAATAATTATGTATTAATTCTGGTTGTGTTTACTGACCTTGAACCGATTTTATGTGGTACACAGCGCTCAAAAATCTGTCAAAATGTTTTAGTACGACTTTTGGAGCATTATGCGGCGTAATACCATCAGCAGCACATCCTCTGTCACAGAAAGAACACTGAGTCATGTTCTTTAGTCCGACAGAAGCTGACCACATCAGTCCACAAGGAGAGAGCTGTTTTTTCAGCATTTATAGTTTATGCAAATGAGCCACGCGGTTTTAAGTTTTGTTTCTGTAAAACGTAAATAAATGTGTGCAAAGCTGCATTAAACACATTATTACTCAACATATATTTGAGTCCTTCTCGTGGGAAATAAAAAAACAAACTTAAATTATCCATCCACACATTTACCAAAACAGGAAGGCCACAGTGGGTGAGTTATGCCACTATCTGCCAATGGACACCTGGGCTAAGGTTTCAGTCTCAAGTTTGTTTCCCTTAATGTGCCTTATAATGTGGTGCACCTAATTTATGAAAATAGATGAAAAAATTCAACATTAATGATACTGCACCTTATAATCCAATGCACTTTATAGTCCGAAAAATATAGTCTTTATTTTAATTAATTTGAATTTTAATAAGTTCATTTTATGTTTTATGATTTTAATAAAAGTAGCTGTTCTCAACAACGTTTGAAACTGCACAAATACTCTTCACTGCTCTTATATAATTACACAGAAAAAGTTTCTGTGCCTAATGGTATTTCCATTTGAGTCGAGCGTACAGTACATGGAGAGATGCAGACTGTTTACATTGTGCTATGGGCAAGAATGTTCTTATTGATTTCTATCAAGCAGCTCTAATGGCCTCTACAGTGAAAGAAGACAGAACACTGATTTGGAAAAAACTTAGCTATTCTAAAGCTTTTAAAGTCAATTCTAAACATTGATTAAAACAATACACATGTTGCATAATAAATAAGTTAAGCTGAAATTGAGATACAAGAAACATAATGGTTTCCAGTTTTCCCTAATGATTACATGGAATTCTAATTGGAAAAAAATAAAAAATGAACATGAATGTGAGCTATTCGTGTACGGAGCTAAGCAGAGGCTATTTTGAACACACTTTGGGAAAACTCAATCCTCCTGGTATAGCTACAGATGATAAATTTGATGAAGCATTCAGTGTGACCCCCAGAGACAAGCGCAGTACACCAGGGGAGCAAAAACACACGCTTGAGGTACGACTGCGCTTTTCCCAACAGACAACTACACACGGCAACATATTAGCACAATAGCTGCTTGAAGGCATGATATTTTAGTCAAATTAAAAAAAGATGAGCTCAAATTATACATGTTTTATCAGTAACATCCACACAACGCAGCTGCTCTAACCGTTGGTGGTCTTGTGTCCGATCCTGGGGCCAATTAGAAAGACCTGCTTGAATAAATCACAGCTAAATGAATACATAACAGCAGTGATAATGCTTGCAGGTCTGGTACCGTGAAGACAATAAACTATTAAGATACTCCCCATTGGCCACAGCAGTAAAGTGGTAAACAGAATTTTCAGGGGTTTAACTGTGCTATAGCAGTCTAAAACAGTGTCAGCGGGGGAGGCATAGGTAGAGCTGTTTGCATATTGCTGGTACATGGTATTAAGATAACTACGGAGGCTGAGAGGGCCCTTATTGGGTGTCCAGCGGATAGCAGCAGGATGGTGTCAAGACGGCGCAGCGTTTTGTCTGAGTAATTAGGACTTCAGGGGACGAGAACAGGGCAAAGGGAGGAATGAACAGCAGTGCTATACAGACAGGAGAGAGGAGAGAAGAGGAGGGAGGGAACTGGGAAAGAGGTAGTGAAGAGTTGGAGCTTTCGCGTTATTACTCTTTACTGGTTAAATTTAAACTAACTGTGAATCGACTAATGTTGGCGAAATTATTATGGAGACAGTAAAAGAAGACTTAGATATTTTATAGTTCGTGCAATAGTTGCTCTCTATTCAAACACTTTACCCTTCAGTAATTATTCAAGTGGACAACTCTTAACATATTAGTAATACTAGGGGTGGGCGATATATCGATATTTTAAATATATCGAGATAGTTTTTAAACTCGATATGAATTCTGACATATCGTATATATCGATATAATGCTTATATTCAATTTTGATTTCGCCGCTTCTCTTGTTTACCTTCTCTCTCGTCGCCTCCGCCTCCCTGATTTTGTTCGCTCGTGTCTCCTTCACTCGTCACTACCGCCCTGAACGCCGAAAGTTGGTGCCAGTGAAAAGCTTCAAGCACCACGAACCTTTTCCACCATTTACAGACAAAACCACCAGCAGCACATCCTCATATTCCACCGAGTCGCGTCCTTTAGCCAGAAAGAAGCTAAACGAGCTGAGCTGCGTGAGAAGTGCTGTTTATGCAAATGCGCTTAAGTTTCGTTTCTGTAAAATGTAAACGCACGTGCGCAAAACTGCATTAAACACATTATTATCGCAAACGGGCTGATGTGGCTCTAGAGTCGTTATGTTTTATATATTGTAAAGTTTAGCAATGTAAAGTTTATTTATGCAGAATATTTTAATTAATAATCTGCTGCAGTGTCACTTGTACAACAGTGTTTGGAAACGATCAGTTTGATCTGCAGTGGATTGTGGGATTAAACCTCAGAGCTCTTTACTGCTGGATAATAACATGGATCTGTTAAAATAAGGAACATCCTGAGCTTCTTCTGCTAAATGAGCTCATGGTTATGGTTATGGTCTGGATAACAGAGTTAATGCAAAGATGAGCTTGTGTTGAGTTGTTTTATTTATGAATGAAAAGAAGGAAATATGTATTATTTATTTTATTTTACAGTTAAATTATTATTTTTTGTAATCCTAAATGTTCCTATATGAACTGCCTACCTCTTACACTTCAATAAAAAAAAAAAGACCTTGTGGAATTGGCAGATTTGTTTTTGCAGTTTTCAGTTTTAGGGGGTTATTTTTTCTTGAACATATATCGAGATATATATCGTATATCGAGATATAGCAAAATATATCGAGATATATTTTTTGATCCATATCGCCCAGCCCTAAGTAATACCTTTTACTTTAATTTAAAACAAGTACTTTGGTATTTTTTCCATATTATTACCATCACATAAGCGCTACAACGTCCCTCTGGCCTGTAAAACATGTACAAAAAATCCTTCATTCCATTGCCTCTCTAAATTCCACCAGATGAGCTCGGACCACTGCTGTTTTTTTATTGTGATGTGGTTTTAAAATGTGCTTTATGTATGTCTGTTATGATAAATGTTGTACCTTAAAGCCTCTATCTGTCTAATCACACTTCTACTTATTTGAAATAGGGCATTTGTTTTTCCTAAACAATGAAACTAAGTGTAATTGTAACTGTGCAAACATGAGCCCCAAACCAGAACTAAAATTTATATTACAGGTTTTATTACAATATGAAATTTTGTAATGTTTTAAGTGGTCCAAACTCAGAAATGTGCTGCTCTGAAACAGGAGTCATTTATGAGTTTAGTACTCATAAATGTAGTACTGACTTGTGCAGGGCTGGTGTCGTATATGCTGGTGTGTACATAAGTGTAGTACTGACTTGTGCAGGGCTGGTCGGGCTGGTCTCCGTCCCCTCTGTAGTATCCGTTGCGACACACACAGATGGTGGCGGCCTCAGACGTGGAGCGGCTGTTGGGAGGACACTGCAGACACAGGCCTGGACCCTGACTCGACTTGAACGTACCCGGAGGACAGGCTGGAAGAGAGAAAGGTGCATGTATTAGAAAGTGAATGTTTATTTTCATTTCCATTTATTTACCCATCAGGAAATTGTTAAATTACATCAAGCATAAAAGCATAAATGCCTGAACCACTGTTAACAGCTAATTTCTGTCTGCAGCAGTGCAATATAGTGCGGATAATAAAGCACGACTCTTTCAACACCACTTTAGAACTTTACAACAGACATCAGTAATCCACTCACACCATACACTTAGCATAAAGCAGACATACATTCATTGAGCACAGCAGACTCATATAGAATATATTTGTATTTATTTATTAATGGGCCAATGCATATTGAAAAACAAGATAATGCAAAAGAAAAACATGTACTTGTAAATATGCAGGATTGTAGCCAAAACTCATTTACATCCTTAGTCACACTGTACTCATGCACTTATATTGAATTTTCATATTTGAAGTGAGTTGTTTTACATCAATAAAATATGCAATTGTTTGCAAATTTCAAGATTTTTTTTTTTAAAACAACAGAGTAAAACGTACTTCGTTCAGATACTGAATTCTGGCGAGGACAGTGTATTTTCGTTGGCAGACTATGGCAGACCCCAATAGTTATTTTGAGTAAGTGCTTTTTCTCTGCACCATGATATTAAGAAACCAGACATTAAGCTTCGTTTTACATCTTAAAATATTGTCATTATGTTAGTTGTGAGGGCCCTCGTAAAAATGACGTGAAGAAAAGCTACTGTGGACTAACTTTCCAGCCGTCTTCTGTTATTACACCCCTGTTGAAGAACTCTATTCCCCTATTACCTACCATATATACCTCTATGTGTGTTTAAACTTTATTGAGGTCAGTTTCCCTACATGCCCCAGGCTGCGGTGAAGGACAGAGATTATTGTGCTTGATATGACTCCGAGTAAGTCCAAGCAATAACCTAATCCTTTTACAGCCACATCCCAAAAGAATACAAAGCTAAGGGCCTGTGCGTTCCATGGAAGGATTTACTGACTGTAATAACCATGATAAATGTCTAATATTTTAGCGAGCTTTACGGATGCCAGGGAGAGCGGTGCCGTAGCGGAAGTCCACAGGGAGAGAGGTAATAAATTTAATGGGACGATGGTCTTACTGTTTCTCCAGCTGCATCAGATCGACTCAGCAATGACGCTAAAACATTGAGTCAAGTTTAAAAGGAGATGTACGGCAGCACCATCCAAATGAACAAATAGTCTTTTGCAATAGTGTGAAATTACACTGTTAAATCTAAAACGAAACAAACAAAAATCAATCAGAGAGTGTTTTCAAAGTTGTATTCAAAGGCAAACATCATACAGTTTCTGCTGCAGGGTCCACTGCTAATTATCATGGAGATATTGCTTTTGATTGCAATGTTCCACAGTATTTGTATCTTCAAGGATATTACAGACACCCCACCAGAAAAAAATTATGTAGTGCACCTTTTGTTACTGCAAGTGCCTGCTAATATGCATTTGTACTTGTATTTACAGGTACAGTATATTCAAAACTAAATGGAAAATAGAAACAGAATCGAAAAATAGTTGATGTTGGCTGGCCAGGCTTTAACGTTATATCTGAATGTAAGTATAACACAGCACTTGGACAAATTATCTAAGGCAACAACAAGAAAGAAAATGGGTCTGACCCTCTTCATTTCAGGGTCAAACTGTCATAAAACTCCAGCACTTAGAGACTCCATGGGAACAACCTTAGACCTCAGTATCAACAAGCTTTTAAGAAATCATTTAAGAATTTTATGCTCCATTAAAAAATACAAAGAAAGGCAGAGAAGTGGAGACCGCAGCATTCTTTACAGCATGATAAAAAAAAGCTGTTTTAGTGCTTTTGGACTGGTCTCTCAGATGGGCTGTTGGATGTATAAGGCGGTAGAAAAAACACACACTGGTCCCCCGCTGCTGCCCCCAGTGGTGAGTCGAAGTTAGTTTGTCGGAGGCTAAATGACTGACCTGGAGTCTGGTCACACGCCTCTGTCCACACATGTTCACAAACAGCTTATACAACAACCCCAGGAGGTGCACCGCGGGGAACTGCGCTTCTATATGACCTATACTGGGCTGTTTGGAAAATACAGAGCAGGGATGTCAAGGATAAACAATGAATCAATAGACATGGCTATATCTGTCACCATGCTTTTCTAAGAATATTTAAAAGGATAATTTGTTATTACTTTTAATACGTTTACTTTTAGCCAAAATATAAATAATAAATGATAAAGGGCTTTCTCTTCTTCACCACTGCATGGTGCTAATCGCTGTGAGGTAGGTGTCCTCCTGCAGTAGTGCTGGTACAAGTAGTTACTATTTGTGTTACTGTCTATGAATGCCTGTTATGTGTTACTGCTGTTGTAAACAAATTGCCGCACAAGGATAATAAACATGGCTTGAACCTTAAACCCAACAGTGTTTGCGGATAGTACAAGTATTTCAAGTACTCTGAGTATCCTAAAGTACACACTACAGTCATCTCTCCTACTGAATGACACATTTTCATGTGTACCCATAACAAACCTGGTCCAATCCAAGAACACGGGTGCTCTTAAACAGCCTGGGCAGCCGTATGTGTGAGCACGAAGCAGCTGCACTCTCATTTTATACAGCTATAACCTCTGAAGACAGCAGTGAACACAGCACCGTAAAAACACCGATCAAAAATTCATTTTCAGCCAGAGAGCGAGAGAGAACTTATGTGTCATCATGTTGGCTCTGTAAAATGGTACAGGAGGTGAGGAGGCAAAGAATGTTTCACACACGTTTACTGACTACAGCCAGTCACACCTGCAGCTCTGTGAGGACCAAACACACCCAGGTGTGCTCAGGCTCAATCCAATATAGAAATCCAGAGCACACATACAGAAGTAAAAAAGCAAAGTTAAGATTTACGTCAAAACTTGCACAATGTACAATATTAAACTAAAAAAGAGGCAATGACATATACAAACATCTCAAACTTGATGATAAAACTATGGAAAATACTCAGTACTCGATAATGATTTTGATAACGTAATGCTAATGAAAACACTCTTTGTATACTAGTACAACAGGCTGCAGTGGAGGACAGGTCAGAATTCTATTAAAGGGCCTCTGAAACCAGGCTCTCTCCAGATTGATTTGTGTAGTCGTCTCAATGGAGTTCTACACATCAATCTGGGATGGCTGAAAGCGATCGGGACCGGTGATCGGAGCATTCAAATAAATACTTCACATTGATTGGTTGAAGCGCCACAACAGCGAAACAAGCAGAAAAATCTTACTTTAGTTAAATCCAGTTCAACCGGAGCTGAACAAGATGGATTCTCGCTGGCAGGACTAGAGCCTATCCACATGAAACAAAAAAAAGTGGAAAAAAAAAAAGTCTTCAGAAAGTGGTGCCATTTTTCAACCCCAAAGACAAGAATGATGCAGTTGAAAGGACTTTAGAAGATGAATATGCCAACTTTTGTGGAGTCAATCTATGTAAAACAATGATAATGTTAAAGATCTGTTGATTTTCTGTTTCTATTTTTCTTTCAAAAAGGATAATTCTCCCATAATATTTTATAGACCCCTGCTCTCCATCTAGTTTTATCTATTTCTAGAACTGGAACACAAGCTATTGAATATTATCAGCACAACACAATACTTAACACAGTTGGTATAGAAAAAGCTTCTTTAATTTAACCATGCGGCCTTATAGTTGGAAGATATATACTAAGATTCTACATAGATATCGCCAGTCAAATGTGCCGTGCAGTTTCTTATGAAAAAGGCCACAATACAGTGTTGTTAAATGGTGTGTGAGGGGAAAGGAGTAGCCGAGCGTGCCCTCAGGTTGTGTGTTTACAGACAAACAATATCACTTTAGACGCGCATAAATAGGGAAAGAGGAGACGAACAAAACAGGAGCAGGAGAGGCTGTGCTGATTCAGCGGTCTGTCAGTGCGGAGCTGCAAAACTGGCCCCAAGGCAAACCGGAGAACGGGCGGCCATAGACACAATGCCGAATAAACACACTCTTACAAAGGGTGAGAAATAGCCCCACATTGGCTTCAGTGCTATTATCACCTCCAGAATCCATTTGACAGTGACCTCGGTAAATGAAATGAGGCGTACACACTTGACGGGCATATGGTCCGAGATAATTCTGCCGAGGACAAATGTGATGCTGCTTTCAGGAAGTCAGATAACAGAGACACACTGGCTCTATCAAATCTATTAAACTGACTGTGGATGGGAAGAGCAGGACTGTGGGTCGTAATGGAAGCTAAGATGGCTCTTGTGTCTGGATTGGATTACACAGCCACAAGTAAACACTTTATAGTCACCATAGTCGCTTTTTATATAGACTGTGGGCAATAACAAAACACAACACTTAAAATGCAGGCGTACAAACAGTATAGCTTGATACAATGTGTTATGTTTAAGGTTACACTGCACTGAACTTTTCTGCTTGTCTCCATGGTGATTGCTTTGCCTGGGATGTTCCACAGTATGGCATTAAATAAATATATCTTATCTTATTTTATGGGGTGTAGGGGTGTAACAATATCCAAGTTTCACTATACAATATTGTCACGGTACGAACCTCACAGTACGATATTTATTGAGATATCATGGAAACACTCATGATTAGGAATGTAACAATATCCAAATCTTTCTGTATGATATTTTCACAATATACATCTCACGGTATGATATTTATTGTGATATTTTGTGGAGGTTAACAAAACTATTAATATGCTTCTTTTTCCTCTTAAAATGCCTTGACAAGACTTAATTCAAAGAACTAAGACTTAAAAGTGCTTAGAACTGTTATTTCTTCATGTAGCCTACATTGAAATGGAGCAAAGGATCATGGTCTGTGTAGTTCTCTCTGTCTTTTTTTTTAAGCTATTGTTGCACCGTAACTCTTAATTTAAGCAGAGAGACTTGTAATTTGATATATTGTGATGGTCCACGATATTATTGTGAGAACTGTGACGATACGATATCACG